TACTTCAGGCATGACGAAAGCAAGGCTATACATAAAACAAGGCTTCGCAACAGTATACTAGCGCTCCTAGCGAGAGGAATCGTGAACAACACATTCAGGAGATATGCATTTCATGCTGTTTTGACATAAAACTAATTCGAATGTTTCACAAAATTTTTGAAAATTATTTTTAAAGCTATTAAATTCTACTAAAAAAAATAAAAAATAAAATAGAAATGAATTTTTAAAAAATAAATGTGTGACGTCACACATGGCCTGAACCCTCCCCCCTCACCCCTGTCCCACTTTCTTACACCCCCTCCCCCCTCTGGAGCGTGACGTACTTTATGGACGGCCCCTATCTGACTAGTAGTATGATAGCAAAAGTGATATTTAACCCATCATTAACATTTGATGTCACCATAAACGGCATTACGCGTTTAATGGAAGTGTGTGTATGTGATGAAGTGTGATTAAAGGGCGCTGCATGTATCTAATTTGTCACAAACTTGTGACGGAGGAAGGGGGTTGGCAGGGGGAAATAAATCTGTCGAAAGGCGTGTCATCATTTAATGGAAAGGCCCTTTTATGTGTTTCACGTGCGTGGCGTATTTAGTTTGATATAATTTATTTCTTAAATATGGTTCTTATATACATATACATTTTTTTTTTTTTTTTTTGCTTTTCGGCGCCTTTGCCAAATTAAGGTTTTTACCAGGTGCACTATAACAAATTCTAACAAATAAACTTCTTCAAGAAAATATTAAAATGTAAAGTATCATGATCCATTTTAGCTAAATGAATCAAATCACCCCTGTACTATTTGTTTCTACTGAACAATTCTATAGAAAATCTAGATTTTATATTTTAAAGAGAATTAATATTATTATTATTAGTGAGAAATTATTATTAACAAAAAAATTAATTAGTCTAATAATAAATAAATGAATGTCTGGTCAGCATATTTTAATATAATTTATTTTTATTAAGAAAAATTAAAGACATTAAAAAACGTTTAGGAAAAATTAAAAATAACTAAATTTACATTTGTTGACTTAGTAACTAATTATATTCCCTGTAAATATTATAATTTTATAATTAAGTTATTGGCCCAAAAGGCAAAAGAATAACTCCCGAACAGGGCTACCAGACATTGGGGCATTTCCCAAGATCTTGAGAATTCTCGACCCCACCAAGAATCTGGGGAATAATTATGAAATTGAGGCGAAACCTTGGGAAATTGTAACTGGTATAAAATATATTTAAAAAAACAAACAAATTAAAAATTGAAAATAAATGAACATTTTTTGACAAAATAGATATTTTTTTCAAGTATTATCCAATTTTGAAATCTGCGAGGTTGGTACTACTTTTTGATGCCACTAATGATAAGAAATCTTCTTAAAATAAGAGTTAATATCACATTAAAATGTAGTAATTTTTTTTAAAAATTAATGTTTAAAAAAATCCGCCAACGATCCCTGTCAACATTTTGAATTTTGAACAATTGAACAGTGTTCGGGCATTCTCAACAATAAATAAACTCATCATAACTATTAATTTTTTTGTAGAATTTGTGGGGAAAATGAACGGAAAACTTGGAAATACTCTTTCTTGTCACTCGTTGAACCATAATTTGCCATAATCGCTACCCGACTACTCGGTACTATCAGATGAGTGAAGGTGACGTGTGTAGATTCACCAAAACTGGCAAAATAGACGGAAAAAAAAGGCAGGTAGGCCAATCAATCAAAGTTCTAATTGGGAATGGCTTAAATATAGCCTACTGATTTAAAGATTATCTACAGCAGGACAATGAAGATTCTAGCCAGGTTTTTTTTAAAGGAAAATGGTTGGGGGTGCCCCACCCTGCCCTACCCAAATGACGTTCCGAAAAGAACATAAGGCCTACCTAATACCTTTCAATCAAGCGGATCAGGTGATCATTTGCTTGAAGTTTATAAAAATGTCATTCCCTGATAGTTAAATGGCTTCAAAATTGTCACAATGGAAAAACAAGAAGCTGTAATTAATACCGTATGCAATGTTATTCAAGATAGGAACGCATTTGATGAAAAATTTCAACTAACAGAAATATGTACTTCTATTATGACACATTTTTGCTGATATTTTTACCTGGTACTAGAGTTTGTTGAGGTGGCTAAGGATTTATGACTTAGGCCTTAGCTCTCTAGCGGGGGCTAGCGTTTTTTTTTTTTTTTTATTTTTTTTTTTTTCGAAACAAAATTTTCTTATTTATTTGAAGTGATAAAACTTGTGTAATTGATTAAATAACTTTCAGTAAATTACTGTACGTTGTGTTTTTGATGGATTGATTCAAGCTATTATGGTATTAATTAAATTTTATAACTCATTTAGAAGTTTATTTTTATAACCTTGGGAAATCTTGGGAACTTTGAAAAGAGTGAGTGGCAGCCCTGCTCCCGAAATGTGGAAGAAAACTCAAAACTCCATAGATAAATAAAATGTTGCTTTGAGGTCCTTACTAAAAACACATGTATAACTTTTGAACTACTTGAGTGAGCTAGATCTTGTTGTTTGTAAACTACTAACTACTAGGCTTTACACAGCTGTAGAATTTTTGAATTTTAAAAATAATTTTGACCAAAATACCTAAGGAGATGATGTTAGTGAAATAAAGATTAATGATTAAGACTTAATTTAAGTACAGTTAAAGAAGAAAGTCAAAAGAAAGTCTAGAAAGTCAAATTGACTGAAGTCCTTTGAATCGCCCACTAGTAAGTATTATCATATACTATTATCACTGGTTTTTCTGTCACTTTAGTACCGGTACTTAAGAACATGAATCTTTTGATCAGAATTAGGGTTAACATAAGTCATGATAAGTCCTCAGATGATAAAGTGGACATTTAAAATTTTACATCAAATCCTGTACAAACCCACAATAGTAATAGGTTTGTACAAATAAATTATAAAGAAAAGTTAAACTACATAAAATAAAATATTGAAGTGACAACTGCAGTCTAAAAATGATTTATAACTGTGATGGTGCTTGACTTGACAGTGTGCAACGCCAATAGATCTATACCTTCAGTGAAGGTATAGCCTTCAGACTGAAGTTCAGTTGCTGAAACACATTATTCATTCATCACGTTTAAACCTGGTGTTAATAAAAATTTGGTACTTTATTAGATGAAGTTTTTCCAAGAACACCCTTAACATTCTTCGGTGTTTCCATGTGCACCTTTAAATCCAGTGCACCCTTATAACTTATTGGCATGGGAGATATAAGTTCCTCTGCCACATGTCAACATTCAGCTTCCCACCAGCCAGTCATATCGACCTGCATGAAAACCTGGGTATTGGGTTTTTAAGTGCGTCTATAAATAAACATGTTTCGTCATTGTTCAAATTAGTTTTTTTTAAATTTAAATTGAAAAGTTAATTATTTATCAATAATCATGAACCCGTGTTACTCTTATCCATTAAGTTTAAAAAATGGCTTTAGGAACTCGAAGGTTCAATGGTTACCTTAATAACCCTTACCATTGAACTAAATGGCATGCTTGCTTAGTTCTAGTTCATCCAAAAGAATGTAAGAAGATTCAAGCGGGGAGGGAAATGGGAAAAACCCTGACAAAAACCATATATTTCTGGAAAGATGCCTAGATAGAGGCCTTAAAAAAGGACATGTCCGGGGAAATCCGGATGCATGTTAACCCTATCTGGAATGGATCCCTTTACTTTTATGAAATTTAGTGTCTTTTTAGGTATTTTTTTTACGGTATTCTAGAACACTATATTTGTTACTGTATACCTAGTAATAATTTTTTGTATAAGGCTGTTTATGTAAAAAATATAATAGTAATAATACAAATACATAGCAGGCCTAATTTTAAGCTAACTTTTCCTAAGCTTACGCCATTTTCCCAACCTTTTTAATATTCTGCACCCCCTACAAATTGTTTGACTAAGTCTTGCTCACTCCCAATTAAAACCCATGTGATGGGTCAGAAATCACTGTCGTTCTGTGCTTTTAAATGCATCAAAATTATCCCTAACTTACGTAGAGATTGGGTCAGACTTTTTATGCCATTTAGGGACACACTTTTAATTAAAGTTTTATTTTAGTCAAAGTTACAATGCATTATATGAGTATGTATATCTAAATATAAAAATGGACTTGCATTTAAAAAAACAATTTAATTAAGAAAAAAAACTTATCTTATGTCTTATTTTGTTTCAGGTGCAGCAGTTATTATCTATAAACTGTTTCAATCAATGAAATAATTCTGCATATTCTGCGAAATTTTAGCAACTGGGATACCAGTATACAGAGATGTACAGTTTAATCTATCAGTTACGGATGGTATCTTTTGAGTCCGCAACCAAAATTGTGTCTTTTACAAGAGTGTATTCAAAATCTTTACAGACATTTCCTAAATGTAGCAGCATAAAATTTCAACTGAATAAATTATCAAGTTCAAGTGATAAATTTCAAATTTGTAAATATACATTCTTTCGAGACTATCGAGTTACAACAAATGAAGATAAAAAAAGTGTGAGCAAAGCAGTTTCAGATGCTGAAAAGATTGTAGGCTATCCTACATCATTCCTTAGTCTCCGATGCCTTCTATCTGATGAATTGTCAAATATTGCTTTGCACATGAGAAAGCTTGTTGGAACAAGACATCCTCTTCTTAAAACTGCAAGGTATGTAATTTAATAAAGACTTTCAATATTTATTTTTTACAGAGTTTGTGGTCTTATGTTCGGCCATTAATATCACTACCGTATCAAATTTATAAAACGGATCCCTTTAAAAAAAAAACGCACGTTGAGAAATGAACAAAAGATTTTGGATGTGCTAAATTGAATTTTTATGTTATTATTGTGGGTCTTTTGAAAAACAAAGCCAAGTTATATGAGGCATACTTCAGAGCTGACGATTTGTCTTATTTTAGTGTTCCCTACAGTCAGAAAATACTTTAAATCTAGTGTGCGTTTAAATATTTTCATTGCTTGGATCTTGGCAAGATCCTTGATAGTTTAGTTTATTACCATGTCACCTATTTCAATCTGACTAGAAGTGTCCAGTGGAAGCCAAAGGATATTATTTATAGAGAGCAGTGCTTCCTAATTTTTTTCTGTGTTCTGCAACCCCAAAAAATTGTTAATACTCTTGCAGCACCTACATATTGACTGAGTCTTCCTCTATGAAAGTAACGATGCGTTTTAAAACTGAAAATAGAATTCTTTTTGTTTAGTCAACTGCAGAACTTAAGAAAATAAAAAATTATGAAATAAAATGAAGAAATAATAAACATATTTAAACTTTTATATCATGAATTTTTTTTTGTTACGGGCACTATATTGATTGAAATATAATTTAATGTAAATTATTAATAACGTAGTTTAAATTTAAACAAATAAATATTTAAAATAAAAAAAATATAAAACAACATTACTTAAATTACTATTACTATTTATTGATAACTAAGAAAATATGTATTTGACTTTTCGAGGCCCCCTGTCAATTTTCATTTTGTCCCCCCCCCCAATTTTGCCTTTAAAGTTGATATTAAAAGTCAATGGCTCCTCTCTTCTTAAATCACTTATATCTTGTTGTGGAGTAAAACCGTGAAAATATTCAAACAAGAAAAAAGTTTAGTTCTGAAAAACCAAATGTATTTCATGGCAGTTAAGTGCTATTGCAAAAAGAAAAATAGAAAAATATTTGTTAACCTTCTTGTCTTTATTAAACAGAGGAATGGTGTTTGATGGTAAGAACAATCTACAACTGAGAGGCTTGTTAGTAATGTTGATTTCCAAAGCTGCTGGTCCAAACCCACAGGCACCCTATACAGAACAGGAAATGATAAGTGGTGTGTATCCAAGGTGAACAAAAATATTATTATCAAATCATATAAATCTACAAGGTTGCAATTTTTAGTGGAAAATTGTAAATAAAGAAATAAATTGAACTTTTTTTATGAAAACTATCAGATTAACATGGCATGCGGTTTCCTTCTTTAAAAATTCAATTAAGGCACTTACAAAAATTGGTTTGCGCTTGACTGAAACGTTTTGTTAGTACAACCATCCAAATGATATGTGGAAATAAATTTTGTACAGTTCAGCGTGTTTCAAAAAAAAAATTTTTTTTGCACACGTTTGAATAAATTCAAAGTAGACCAAAGTGAAGCTAAATCCTATTGATCCTTTCCAAATGACCTTTGGCACATTGGGAATAAGACAAGCTCCAAAGGAAGTTTCTAAATGAGTGGCTTACCCTGGAATTATTTAAGCTTCATCATTTGGACCATAACATGCATTGTGCAAAAAAGACATGTTCAGTATCCTAGGACATTAAAGCACATATTAAAACATGTTTGCAAGAGCAAAATTTTGAGGCAATGAAAGGAAGTTCTACTTCTATTAAATCCTTCTTTTCTCAGTCCCATCATGTAGATAATCAGTCACATAAAAATGAATAGATGGGAATAGAAAAAGTAATATATAGATTTTAAAAAGTTGGAAGAAAATTCAAGTCCCATACACGGACATGAAGCCATTGAAATAATACATGTACAAACTTTGTTGTAATTAATTTACTATATTTTAAATGAAAGTAATGTTTTTAAAAGATACAATTTTATTGAAATACTCTCTCTTAAAACTCTAGTCAGCGCTCTTTGGCTGAAATCACTGAGGTTATTCACACAGCCAGCTTGATCCATAAAGGGGTTGTGAATCTTGCAGACATATTACCAGAAGATGGTCCTCTCTCAGATATGGAGTTTGGCAATAAAATGGCTGTTTTGAGCGGAGATTATTTACTATCATCTGCATGCATTGGCTTGGCCAAGTTAGGTAATCCTCTAGTAAGTATTAATGGCAAAGGTTGGTAATTCTGTTACTAGTATTTAACATGATGTTTTTGTTAGTCAGGTGTGCGACAATTGTGAAAATTGTTGTTTTGCAATTTTGATACTTAAGATTTGTATATTTATGTATTTCCAAAATACCATAGAAGAACAGTCTTTAAGTATGGTTGCATAAAAATATTTTAAAGATGAACAAAAATATTTTAAAGATGAACAAAAATATTTTAAAGATATACAAAAATATTTTAAAGATGAACAAATATATTTTAAAGATTAAAAAATATATTTTAAAGATTAACAGTAACAAAAATATATTAAAGATGAAGAAAAATATTTTAAAGCTGCTTGAATCAAAGATCTCCTTTTGTCCTTGTTTAGGTTATTGAGCAAGTTGCAAGTTCCATTGGTGATATGATGGCTGCAGAGTTTACTCCCTTTACTGATGCCGGTGGCAAATCTACTGTACCAGAAAGCTGCAACAGTTTTTCTGACTGGTTGAAACAAACTCACCTGTCCTTTGGAAGTCTCCTGGCAAGGAGTTGTCAGTCGGCCATGACCTTAGCCGGGCATTCAGAAGATTTGGGGAAGATGGCGTTTGCATTTGGGGAAAACACAACATACGCTCATCAGGTACTTTACATGCAGCTACCTCATTCAACATATAGACATGATTTATTTTACACGCAGTTGCCTCATTCAACATAGGGACATCAGGTATTTTAGTTTTACATGAAGTTACCTCATTCATCATCGGGAATCAGGTATTTTAACTCTTACAAATTTGCATATCAGGTATTTAGACTGTTAATGACTCTGGGAAGTTTCAGAAAGAATCCCATAATTTATTAAAGTGATTTATTTAATAAATTTACCAATCTGCTATTCAGTTATGTTGATTGCCACATCTCTGGAAATACCTGCTTTGTTGGGATGTTCAGTATTTTCTGAACCTGTTCAATTTATGTATCCCTTGAAATTACTGCAGAGTGACAAATCTCTTGCATCAAGTTATCTTACATTTTTAATAATTTTCATAGTTGCTATAGAATCTTCATGTCCACATGACTGAATGTGACAAATTATGGTTGGTCTTCAAAAACAGTGCTCCGCAATTTTTTTTTCACATATAGCACACCTAGACACTTCCCAGAATGACGTGGCACACCATAAGTAAAAACATACAGCTTTTAAAACTATGACATTCATTCTTACTTCTAACTTTGCAACATGGTAACTAGGTTTTGAAACTAGGTTTTTAACTGAGAATGTTGGGAGTTTAGTTGTAATCTAAAAATTGACTCAATTATCATTAATTAGACACAAACAATTTGTGTAATTAAAATGTTTTTGCTTTAATTTAAGGACAAAATACCCCTTATGATTAGTTAATTTATCTCCATTGTATCAATGCATTTGAATATATTTTCGCACCCTCGTAAAATCTGTGCATTTCTGAGGTATTTTTAATGTCGCACACTTAACACCATCTCACAGCACACCTTTTAAAAACCACACACTGATAAGCTATGTCTGCATTAGCCCTGCTTCACTCACACTCAGTAGTGGGCACAAGCCTTGTACATCTGAATGTTTCTCACCAGGATTGCACAGGATTTATAACAATAAGTTTTTTTTATAATAAACCAACAGTTGTCCAAAGATATTGCTGCAATCACCAACCAAGATGAAAACCCTAACTTGAGACCCACTTCAGCTCCAGTTGTACTTTACAGAGAAATGGCTTCTTTGGAAGAAATCAACAAAATGTACACATTTTGGCAAGAAGAGAAGATCAACTACAAGAAAGTAAGTTTCAAAAAAGGAATCATTTGCAGGCAATGCAAGATTAAAAATAAAATTGTGAAAAATAATGTTTTATTATATATGTGTGTGAAATAACATTGGCGGGGTGGTGAATATAGTGGGGGTTGGAATGCTGGGGGGGGGAGAGTTTGATTGCATGAGAGTTGATTGCAAATAGTCGCTCACTTCTTTATTTCATCACTGTATTTTTTTGTATTAATTTTATAATAAAAAGGTTCAGTTGGGCAGTGTTTAAACTCCAAAATGCCTCCCTTAACTATGCAGTGTTTAAACACCAAAACATCTCCCTTGACTATGTAACTGAATATACAGTACCTACCAATGTTTCAAAAAAAATTTCTTCACAAAGATATGAACAAAATTGGTTGGTTTATTGTTCCACTCCCGACAGCACCCTTTTTTCTATTTATTGGTGGGCACTGTTTTCAGGCTCTGCCCGGGCACTGATTTTCCTTTGCATGGCCCCGCCTCCCCATACATACATGTACACAAAATCTCCCAAATCAGCAACCCTCTCCCCTCCTGTGTAATATATTGATCATATTTACAATATATTTGGCTTTCCACAATAGACCATTACATTTTAGGTTTAATAAGTAAAAGTATATTCCTTTCAATACTAATTTAATGCACTTGCATGTGTGTAAAATGTGTAAAAGCCTTCTTAACACTATTTTTTAACTAATCTTTCTCTTCTGTGTTTCTTTTTTCCCCCAGATATTGTCTGCTCTTGTCGACAGTGGTGCTGTGGACAAATGCAAGCAGCTGTGCCTTCAGTATAGAAACAAAGCAATATCTTCCCTTGATTGTTATACAGAATCAGATGCAAAAGTGGCTCTTATAAACATGGTTACAGCCGTTAGTGATGTTCGATAACTTGGTCCCAGCAGAGATGGTTATATTTGACTACATGGTTACAGCCGTAAGTGATGTTCGATAACTTGATCCCAGCAGAGAGAGTTATATTTGATTACATGGTTACAGCAGAACGGTGTGCAGAATGTTAATAAATAGTAGAACAAGATACGTTTAGGTTTGAAAAACAGACAGAACAATTTAAAAAAAGGACTTTTTGGCAGAATGCAAAAATAGAGAAAAAAATATTTGCAATTTAAAAACTTAAGTCTGCCACAATGGCACGGCTTGTATGTTATTAGAATGTTATATTAGTAAAAATAGCCCTATTTTAAAATTATTTTTTTTCACTACTAATCTACAATCCCAAAATATTTTCTTAGCTGATATAAAAATCATATAATTATTTTTAAAAGTTCCTCAAAAAAAAAAAAAAGGTGTGCCTAACCCAGGGTTAGATAAATAAATTGATTTCATGTTTCTGTACAATTTCTTTATTAAACATTGTATTTTATAAGTTAGCTTGAAGTGTTTTTATTAAATAAATGCAGAGATATGTTTTGTGTTGTTGCTGCAACTAAATGCATAATAATTTTGTAATGTTAAATGTTGCTATGGTAAAAAAAAAAACAATTGTGCATTCTAAATAAATTAAGTTGTTCCACTGATGAAAAGATCAATCCTTCAAGGATTTTACTACAAATAAAATTCAATGAACCCATTTTTTATTTTAGTTTTTCCTGAAAATATTTTGAAGTTGTTAAAGATTGTCTCAAAAAAGTGTCACTTTAGATCTTGCTTTCATGTTATTATTAAAATTACCTATACATTTTGCATTGATCAAAAGCCGAGCCAGTGAAATTGGCTAAAAATAAGTAAGAGGGAGGTCAGTTATTTTTAAATTTCAAATTATTATTTCTACAGTTTTGGTCTTCATTTTTCTGATATATTTATTTTGACCAGAACTGTAAAAGTAATTCCAAAATTTTTCTGCATGCCAGCAACTAAGACAACTGAAATTACTTAAGTTATCATTTGTGTTATTTTTTTAATATCTAAATTAACATTTACACAATAAATGAAATATTTTGCTTTTAAAATCAGTTTGTCTCTATATATTTTGTTACAAAGGTTTGAACAAAACAAAATGTTTTTTAAAAAACTTTCCATGAAACTTGATCAAGGTTACCTTAAATTATTTTGAAGTTTCTTGAATGTTCAAGATGAATATATAAGGTTCTTTTCTAAACACAATTTTTGAAAAGACCCAAATTTATTAATTTCCAAACTTCTTTTCTCTTTTTAAAATCAGAATAAGGTAACACAAAACTTGTCAAACCTGTTTTTAAGCATTTATTTTTAAAAATTCACATTTCTAGATTACTGTAGTACCAAGTATGTAGTCAAATTAACAGTTTTTGTCAACTTCCTTTTTTCACATCAATTCGATTTAATTTTTTACAAAAAAATTTCTTACTTCTCAAATGACAATGGAAGAAAACCTCAAATCTAGGCATTCGTAAAATATATGTGCCAGTACCAGTAACAAAGTAGTTTGAAGAGCGCCATTTTAATTTATCTGAAGAATGTTATATTAGTTTGAAATTCCAATTAAGTTTTTTATTCAATTGAATTAGTGGGACTCATACTGCTTTAACTTACAAATGTTCTTTTCAGAGTTATTCCCCCTTAAATCATTCTCCCCCACAAACTAAAGCTTGTGCAGACATTTATGATTATAAGGCAATAACTTCCTGTTAATTTGTTTTCATACAACAGTTTCCATGCTTGTAGTTGTATGGATTTCTGCATCTTGCAGTAACTGTTGAAGTTTACGGATGTACTTTATTGCCTTTCTCAGAGTCTCCACCTGCTTGAAGAAAAAAACTTTTGAAGAAAAGAACTTTTGTGCCCCAATTATTATTATTATTATTATTATTATTTTTGAAATTGAAGATCTACAAACTAAAAAGAATTAAATTAATGAGCCCTCTACCAAAACTATAGACTAGTATTATAGACCTATAAAAAAAGAGACTCAGGATCTTAATAACCACCCCACAATAAATATATATATATATATATATTTAATCCTGTTCCTGTTGCACATTTCTAAGTCGATTAGCTCCATACTCCATAATGGCACATTTTAATTTTAAGATCATACAACGACTTGTTTGCAAGGGTAACCTTACTGTCTATTCCAGTGGTTTAAAATTGCCCCAAAAGTCTGTTGAGGATACTTAGATTGTTCAAGAAACACAACACAGTTATTGGTTATGTAAGGATTCAGTGTTCCTTTCAGTCACCTCTCGGGGTGGCGCCCCCCTACCCCCCCCTCCTTTCGAGCACCTCTGGGGATGCTCCCTCCCCTGGAGCTATTCCACACACACACAAATATATATGGATAGGCGTAGGAAAAGGGTGGGGCACTTTTTGGTAAGTTTAAAAAAAAAATACATTCCATTTTATTTTTTAAAAATTTATACATCAATTTTTTAAAAATAAAATAGAATTAATTTTTTTACATCAATTTTTTAAAGTAATGCTTTTTGGTACGGTACTGGTTGGTACGGTGTACCGGCACATTTTTATTTTTAGGCATGATTTTAAAATTTTGTTGTTGTTTTTTTTTGTTGTTGTAAATTGCATTAATTAATGCAGTAGTTACAACCAGTATATAAATTGTATGAAATGTTTTTTTTTTAAAATTACAATTTAGCAACACCTAAAAATATAAAGGATTGTATCAACACAATCAGGTCAAGGGACGCCAAAGTTTACCCTCACATCTCGACTATTGCTCTCAAAATAAGGTAGACACTGCCTGTCTGTTTGGTGAGCCCAGTGGTTCCCAAACTATGCAGGGCCATGAGATGAGATCGGAGCACTTGCCTGAGGCGGATATTTCTTTAATATTGAATTAAACTCTATGTCCCATGCACTGCATACAGCCAAGGGTGTCCTACGCACTGCATACAGCCAAGGGTGTCCCACGCACTGCATACAGCCAAGGGTGTCCCACGCACTGCATACAGCCAAGGGTGTCCCACGCACTGCATACAGCAAAGGTTGTCCCACGCACTGCATACAGCCAAAGGTGTCCCACGCACTGCATACAGCCAAGGGTGTCCCACGCACTGCATACAGCCAAAAGGTGTCCCATGCACAAAGTGTGTCTGATGCACTGCATACAGCCAAGGGTGTCCCATGCACTAAGACTTCCTACAGCCAAGGGTGTCGCGTGCACTAAAACTTCATACAGCCAAGGGTGTCCCATGCACTAAGACTTCATACAGCCAAGGGTGTCCCGTGCACTAAGACTTCCTACGGCCAAGGGTGTCCCGTGCACTAAAACTTCATACAGCCAAGGGTGTCCCGTGCACTAAAACTTCATACAGCCAAGGGTGTCCCGTGCACTAAGACTTCATACAGCCAAGAGTGTCCCGTGCACTAAAACTTCATACAGCCAAGGGTGTCCCGTGCACTAAGACTTCATACAGCCAAGGGTGTCCCGTGCACTAAAACTTCATACAGCTAAGGGTGTCCCGTGCACTAAGACTTCATACAGCCAAGGAGCCTTGAAAATGGCCTGTTAACCCGGCACTCCTCCCCCCCCCCCCTTTAAGTATCGTAGGCCACCATTTTCAGAATTCGCCCCAGGCGCTGCCTGTCCTCGGCAAGGCCCTGCCTTGGGTTTCCCTGGCTCCTTCACACGCACACCCTGATCACGTACAATGTGTTCATCCGTCCTCCCCCCTCCCCCTTTAAGTATCGTAGGCCACCATTTTCAGAATTCGCCCCAGGCGCTGCCTGTCCTCGGCAAGGCCCTGCCTTGGGTTTCCCTGGCTCCTTCACAGGGGCGCCATGAAACGTTACACGTGCTGCAACTTGCAACTCACTTGAGTACACCAAACTGTTCGCTGTTACTTGATGACGCTTTGTGACGAACACAACGTGCTCTACTTATTTTTACCCATTACTTTATGATAATTAGACGTAATAAATGTTTATTGGAGGTCTTAAGTGTGGGAACACATTTTTCTTTTTAAAACCGTACTATCACCCGTGATTGTAACCGTACCCAGAGGCGTAGCGAAGGGGGGCAGGGGGGACAGATGTCCCCGGGCGCAAGCTAGTAAGGGGCGCCAAAATGTGCTTTGATTTTATATTATTGGTAAAAATAATGGGTTTGAGAGTTGAAAAAAAAGAAAAGGGGGCGCTTTAAAATGGATCTTGTCCCCGGGCGCCAAACACCCTCGCTACGCCTCTGACTGTACCTGCCAGAATATAGTTTAGTCCACCATTAACTTGAACTAACCCTATTTAGATTTTAGCCCTACGAGTCCAGCCTACGAAAAGTCTAATTCTGCAGAATCCTAACGTCCAGTCTAACAGGGGGGAGAGGGGGGGTCTAGTCTAAACTTGCCGAGTTGAACATTGTCAGGATTAACCGTTTGAGTATGACCTTGCCCCAAATTAACCTTGCTCAGTCTCCGCTGAACTTTGACCTCTGGCGGCAAGTGCTGCTTTAGTCTCTCGTAGCCTTCGTTGACGCATCGTACTCTCTCACGCTCTCGTTCATTTCTGCGACGAATGAAATGTGTGTCAGTGTCGGCGAAGTGACTCGGCGTGGTACCTGGACGATCATGCACGGTGTGGCTTGAAAAAAAAAAAAAAAAATTAAAATTGAGTCATTTATTATTACTATTGTACAAGTTTGACCGTTGTAAAATTATTTCTAACATTAAATTATTGATTTAAAACATAAATCAAATACAACCCCCCCCCCCC